TGATGATCTTGCTGGGAAACCTGCTCATTGTGTTGCTGATATTGAGGGATTCATGCCTCCACACTCCTATGTACTTCTTCCTTACTAATTTATCCATTCTAGAAGTCTGTTACACATACTGTGTGTTCACACAAATGCTAGCACATTTCTTTGTTGAAAGAAAGTCCATTTCATACTCATATTGTGTCATTCAGGTCTACACATTCCTGTCCTTTGGCATTACAGAGGGCTATATCCTCTCAGTGATGGCCTATGACCGCTATGTTGCCATTCGAGATCCCTTAAGGTACTCAATCACAATGACCTGGGGTATTTGCAGGAGGCTGGCTGCTGGGTCATGGTTAGGTGACTTTTTGGCATCTTCAGTGGACACAGTAACCACATTCCAGCTCTCCTTCTGCCAGGATAATGTTATCAATCATTTCTTGTGTGAAATGCCTGCCCTACTGCATCTCTCTTGTACTGACACAACCCAAGCAGAGTTGGTCATGCAGGTGCTCTGTATCTTTACTCTTTTGTGCCCTATCACATTCGTCATCCTTTCCTATGCACACATCATCATTGCTGTTATCAGAATTCGCTCTGCCCAGGGACGCAGGAAAGCCTTCTCTACTTGTTCTTCCCACCTTCTGGTTGTCACCCTATTTTGTGGGACTGTAATGTCTCTTTACATGAAGCCTCAGTCTCTATCTTCTCCAGAATACAATAAGATTGTTTCTGTGTTTTATGTGGCTTTCACACCTATCCTCAACCCTCTCATGTATAGCTTCAGGAATAAGGAGGTGAAAATGGCCCTGAGAAAGCTTTTGGGGAAACCTGAAGGTGCTTAATTCACATATGTCATTCATGGGTCTGTGTGAGGAAAACTTGAGCCCAAACAGCCTCCTTGTTTTTCTTCCACAAGTTTTTATTGTGTCTATTCTTGTGTTTGGAACCTCAACATCTCATTTTTATTCAATATTTTGTCTTGTCATTTTAGGAACTTTCTGAACTCTCTTCTGGATCTCTCCCTAAGTTTCCTAAGGCAGAGAAATGAAATAGTCTTGATTTCCCTACACCATCATAGGTTTCAACTCAGAAAGCACTGCATCTGGCATATTGAGAATTATTTCACTATGAATTTGTTTCAAATAATGATCATAATAATTGGCAGAATCACAGCTAGTGTTTTGGAAGTCAGGGAAATTTGCTTGTGGGTAGAGGTTTTGGGTGGGAATATCAATTTCCATGGGTAGAGGGAGGGTTTTTTTTTGGGGGGTGGGAGGACACGGGATAAAGCAGGTGATGGAGGAGGAGCTTACCTGGAGAATGGGTGGGGGTGTCATGGGGGAGTGATAGAAGCTATATGACAGCTTTCTAATTTAACTAATTATTTTTTTTAAGGCAATTGGGGTTAAGTGACTTGCCCCGGGTCACAAAGCTAGTAAGTGTCAAGTGTTTGGTCTGAAGCTGGATTTGAACTCAGGTCTTCCTGACTCCAGGACTGGAGCTCTATCCACTGAGCCACATAGCTGCCACCTATTGTGTTTGTTTTTTAGGCAATTGGGGTTAAGTGACTTGCCCAGGGTCACACAGCTAGTAAGTGCCAAGTGTTTGGTCTGAGGCCAGATTTGAACTCAGGTCCTCCTGACTTCAGGGCTGGTGCTCTATCCACTGCACCACCTAGCTGCCCCCACTAATTATTTTTTCTAACTTTGCTTTAATTTTGGTTTTTTGAGTGTAAGTACTGTCAGTGCCCTCTAGTCTGGCACTACAAGGTAGTGCCCTAATCCCACTGCTTTAGTTACAACCCTTGTACCTAGAGTTTTTACTTGGACTTTTGAGGTTCCTGAAATATCTACTTGGATTTTAAGCATGAAAATAAGAGACTTATATAAAAATTAATTATAAAGTCTGCACTGATTTCATTGTTATTATTTTTCAGTCCTTCCAGTCATGTCTGACTCTTTGTGACCCCATTTTGGATTTTCTTGGCAAAGATACTGTAGTGTTTTGCCATTTACTTCTCCAGTTCATTTTACAGATGAGGAAAATGAAGCAGAGTTAAGTGACTTGCCCAGGGTCACATAGCTAGTATCAGAGGTCAGATTTGGACTCAGTAAGATGAGTCTTCCTGACTTTAGGCACAGTATTCTATCCACATGACTGAAAACAAGTAAACAACAACAAAAATAAAACTTTAGCTGCTCCATTAAAGTTTTCTTTTTGTTGTTGTTTACTTGTTTTCAGTCATGTGTGACACTTTGAGGCCCTTTACGGTGTTTTCTTGGTAAAGGGACTGGAATGGTTTGCCATTTCCTTCCCTAGCTCATTTACAAATGAGGAAACTAAGGTAAACAGGGTTAAGTGACTTACCCAGGTTTACACAGCTAATAAGAGTTTGAGGCCAGATTTGAACTCAGTTCTTCTTCTTTCCAGGTCTGGCTTTTTATCCACTGAGTCACCTAACAGCCATGATTTTCCTATATGTCACTGAGTTCTACTCACATGACTTGGTATAATGTAAAGAAACAAACCACATTTAACTGAATTTATTATGTCATGCATAAAGGCTCTGAGATCACTTTCCCAACCACAACTTCAATGGCACTTTGGGTGCCCAGAGCAACACTATTGTTCCTCCTAAGGTTCTAGTTATATCTCCAGGGAGTAAGGATATTTTCTCTAGTACTATCATTCTTGAGCCTCTGCCTAGTGTACCCCCCTCAATATCACCAGTTTTAGTTAGTATCTCACCAATATCATTTGACAAGTTGATATCTCCTCAAAATTATTGATAGCCATTCAATGTCAATGTTGTAATGGGATATTTTGGAGACATCTGGGTGGCTCAATGGATAGAGTGCTGAACCTGGAGTCAGGAAGACCTGAGCTCAATTCCAGCCACAACAACAACAACAAGCCAACTGAAAAAAAGCTGTGGTAGAATACTTAGAAATCCTTTGAAGTGTAGACCAAGACTCTCCACTACGCATTTCCAGAAGTAGGACTGCCGAGACTCTATATGGTTTCATATCAGTCAAAGTGCACTGTGCATGTTCCAAGGACTAAGCCCTTATTGGTTTGCCATCTGTTATAATTATTTCCACATAGAATGTATAATAGAATAACATGTAAGGAAATAAATATCATAATCATGAATATGAATGGGATAAACTCACTCATAAAATGTAAGAGTCAGTTGAATCGATTAGAAAATGAAGCCAAACAGTCTGCTTGCAAGAAAAACACTTAAACATAAAAACTCAACATAGAATCGAATAAGGGATTGGAATAAAGTCTAGTAAGCCTAAGTTGAACACAGGATTTTACCTTATTACTACTCTCTGCCCTTCTGATCAATAAGTTAAGTTATGCACACCAAAAATTGCATTTAAGGAAGGAGCTCAGCTCAGAATATCTCATTTATCACTTGGCTACACTACTAAAGGACATCTCCGATTTTCTCCACCATGCCCTGTGCTGGGTATTCTTCCTGTGTCCCTCCTTTTCAGTTTCCTTTTGTGTATTGTCTTCCCCATTAGATTACAAAGTCCTCAAGGGCAGGGAATATCTTTTTCATATTTGTATTCCCAGTGCTTAACATAATGCCTGACATATAGCAAATGCTTAATAAGTGTTTATTGATTATTGGCTGCAGTATTGAAGATTTAAAAGAACAGAATCAGAAAAAACATTTATAGAGCAGAAAAAAATACATAAAAGCAACTTGGAAAGCTATAAGAGCAATGATTAATGCTGTGACAATCTGTGATTCTGAAGGAATGATGATGAAACATCTTATCTATTATAGAAACCCGAGGGATTACTGTGAGCAAACAGTATGAACTTTGGGTCCCTAAAATATCAGTATTTAGCAGTTTGTCTAGATCATACCTTGGTAGCTCATAATTGTTCATTTTTTTTCTTTTAGCTTTTTAAGTAGATTCAGACTAATTGATTTATTGTAAGTTCCTTGTGGAACATAGGTCCATGTGACAAGTTTTGCCTATTGGCTTAGTAAGCTTGAATAACCAACTCTAAGTCCTTAGCCCTCTTTTTGGGAATCCTACATGTGTTTGAGATTTATCTGACCCTGTTTTCTTTCATTTTGTCCTTTGCCTATTGGTCTTATTGAAGGATGAGTTTGAAATTTCATAAAGATTGCTCTTGTAGTAGAGTCTGACTGTTTCAATGAGAAAAAGGAGCACATTGGATGGGGGCTTTTAAATAATAGTTCCAGAAACTCCAACCCCTCAGGGTTAGCCACAAGTACCTGTTGGATGAATGAGCCCAGAAACGATACTATGTCTACAAAAATATAAAATTCTTAAAGTAACAGAATCCCAAATAAACACAAGAAAAGGAAATAGAACTTGTTTGAAAGTCGCTACAAAAGAAAGCAAAACTCCTATCCTAATGGATTTTTAAGATAATTCTATCAAACTTTGAAATAACAATTGATACCTACACACAAATTATTCGAAAAAATTAAAAAAGTAAACACTAATGTAATTCTTTAATGAGATATAGTCCAAGTAACTAAATGGGTGGGGGCCTACAGTGGGGAATAAAGCAAAGTAAGAGAACTGGAAGTTAATATAATTAATGAAATGAATTCATTTTTAAAAGAAAAATCATGGTAAAAAGACTAGTAATTTGTCCAAAAAGCCATCCACAGTGTTCAAATTTGATTTCTATCAAGGAAGCTAGGATGATTCCACAGAACTACATTTAACATAATCATGGTGAAACCACAAAATAGTCAATATTGCATTACTATATCAATAGATTTAGTAAAAGTCTTCGACAAAGTACATTTGTTTATGCAAAAATCATCCAAAGGATATGCATAATAAGACCCTTCTTTTTATATAATAAAAGTCTCTACCTTAATCCAAAAGCTAACATTATGTGCAATGGGGAAATATTAGAAGCTTTCTCAATAAAGAAAGGAATAAAGGAAGCATCACCCCTTTCCCTTCCAGTATTTTACAGAGTTCTAGAAATGCTTGCACTAGCAATATGAGAAGGTAAAAAAATATAAGCAAAGGATAGATAAAATATCTTTCTGCTGAAAACATTGTGTTTTATGTTTAATAATCTGACAAGGTTGTCAAAGAAACCAATTGAAACAATAACTTCAGTAGAATTGCTGGGTGGAAAATAGAATCACAAATCAACAGCATTTCTTTATAGTAACAACAAAATTCAGGAACCAATAACAGAATGGGATAAGCATTTATTAAGTATCTACTATGTGACATGGGCTATGCTAAATGCTTTGCAAATATCTCAGTTGATTCTCATGACAGTCCTGGGAGGGAGGTAGAATTATTATCTCCATTTTAGAGTTCAGAAAACTGAGGCAGGAAGAGGTTAAGTGACTTGCGCAGGGTCATACAACTAATGTCTGAGACTGGATTTAGGTCTTCCTGATTCTAAGCTCAGTGTTTCAATCACTGTGCCACTTAGCTGTCTCTGCATTAATGCACAAAAGAGACCTTGAGAATATTAAAGGGTCAGGAGGATTCTGAGCTTCTCTTCTTGCTGTTGGCATCTTGACACCATCGGCCAGATCACCAGCAGCTGGCAGCAGTGTTTGCATCAGGAGCTAAGAAGAGACTAGATACAATTTGAGAAGGCAGATTCTTGGCAGTACAAGGCATCCAGGAAAGAAGCTACATCACAAACAAGGGAACTTCTTGAGAATCTCATTAAAAAGAAGAAGAAATTCCAACAACCAGAAGTTTTTATTATATATTCTTTCTAAGCTTGAGCCAAGATTTCTCTGAACTGTGCATAGTGGTGGGAGAGTGTGTTCAGATTTTGGGGATAAGTGCTATGAAAA